ACCCTGAGTCATAAGGAAAAGGGGATGGCGTATTCTCTTAGCTACTTCCTGCTGAAAAGGGACGCTGTGGGTTTCAGGGTGAAGATCTTCTCTTACTACTCTAAAGGGCCCCTTTGGCAGTAGGAAACACATAGACTATTATGGAGATTGATTTTGGAATTTAGATGCACCCAATGCAATTTGTCTTTTGATTTCCTGGCTGCTGGTACCAAGAGTGATGATTGTGGAGGCAATCAAACTGAAGCTGTTAACCATCTCAGTCTCTTTGCCTTCTATCATGAAGTTGCCGATTGGCCCAGTGGTGAGAATCTTTGTTTTCTTGATGTTGAGCTTCAATCCATATTGAAAGCTGCAGTCCTTGACCTTCTGCAACAAATGCCTCAGGTCTGCCTCAGTTTCACAATAGTAGCCTTGTGCAATATTTGTCCTTAGGTGACTGAGATATTTCACTCAGTATAATGTTCTCTAGTCTCTCCCAAGTTACATAGTATTTTACAAAATCATCGCTCCTGAGTGTTGTATAGTATTCAAGTGTGTGAATGTACTACAGTTTCTCATTTGTTGATGAACATTTGGATTACTTCCATTTTCTTGCAATTGTGAATAACACTGCTGTAAACACAGTTACATTTGTGCCACAGTTCTGATTTCCTTAGGATACGTTCCTAGCAGTGGAATAGCTGAATCATATGGGATTTCTATGTTGAACTTTTTTAAGGAAGCATCAAGCTGTCTTCTCTAGCGGTTGTACCATTTTATAATCCTACTAGCCGTGCACAGTAGTTCAATCTCTACATTCCTCTCCAACATTTATGTTTGTTGTGTTGTTAAACTTTTCTACTTCTGCTGGAGTGAGATGATCTTACTGTTTTGATTTGCATCTCTCTGACTGCTAATGGTTTTGAACATTCCCTCATGTGTTTCTTAAGAATCCAGATGTCCTCCTTTGTGAAGAGTCTTTTCATGTCATTTGCCTATTTTGTGATTGGGTTGTCAGCTTTTTTCTTGTGGTGGCCCTGTAGCGTTCTTTGGTTATGAGACCCTTATCTGAAATGTCATTGTTTCAAATGTTTTTTTCCTGATCTGTGAGATTTCTTCTTACTTTACTGGAGAAAGTTGTTTGGGGATTTTTAAATAATAAAATTTGTTATTTTAATTGGGATTTTAATAAAAATTTATAGAAAAGTTGGATTTTCATTTATTCATTACTGTACATTTTCTCTCTCCCTCCCCCAATTCACTTTTTTTTTGTTTAAGTATGTATTCATTGTTGCACAATTCATCCCTTCCCCCATCCCCAGGCCTCTTTGCAATGTAACTCTTATTCTAGACTTTTACATTTAATGCCTAATCATATATTCCTTTTAAGTAATTTTTTTCCTTCATCTAGTCCAATACAGTGTTCATTATCTCTTTATTCTTTCCCTATTCTCCACCCCCCGCCCCCATGTCCTGCTTTATAACAGTGGTGTTATGCAGTATTTGTCCTTTTGTGACTGAGATATTTCACTCAGGATAATGTCCTCCAGGGTCACCCATGTCGTGTAATGTTTTAAGAGTTCATTATTTTTCAGTACTACATAGGATTTCACTGTGTGGAGGAAGTTTTTGATGCATACAGGGGTTTGATTTTAAGGTCTCAGTAATCAATCCTATCTTCATTTTTGCATATGTTTTCAAGCCTATTTATGTCATAGGCCATAACTCCTAGTTTTGTTCCCATCTTGTTTCTTAGGATCTTTATGGGTTTAGATTTTCCTCCAAGGTCTACAGTCAGCTTTGAGCTCGTTTTGGTGTATAGTGTAAGACATGGGTCCTCCTCTTTGATTTCTTGACTGCTGCTCTGTCAGTTAAACTCTGGAAAAAACCTAAATTGGTTGGGCTTTAGTCAAATAGTTTTACTTGAGGACAGCTAGCTCATCGTCAAGGAAAACAAAGTACTGCTGGGATTACTTTCGAATGATTCTTTCTCCCCACCCCCTGCTAGAAGCATGAGGGGAGCTTCTTCTATCTTCACAATGAAAATGCAGTAGGACCTTTGGACTTAAAATGAATAAAACATGGGCCCTTCTGAACTTCTGGAGTTTTTCCTCAAGTTCATCCACACTCCCTTCAGCAATTGGTCAATTACCCATATAGTGTTCCTACCACATTCTGGTTTCTGCCCCAGTAAGCTTTGATTATTTTTTTTCCTTTCTTTTTTTTTTAAATTTTTAGTAGTTTTGAATGTGTGCACCGTCAAATCAGATCTGACTGGTACAGGAGGTGATTGTCCCTCCTCCCCAGCAGAGCATCTGGTGGATTCGAACCGTGCGCCTCTTTTTTTTTCCTTTCTAATCTACCAGGCTGCCCATTTTCTGAATGCTAGTTTGCTATGTGACTTTGATTCTCTGACAGATCCCAAAGAGTTACACAGTTTCTTCTGTTGTTCTGATTTTCCCCTTATGATAGGAGTGATGGCTTCCAAGCCCTGCATATGTTATGTCAGAACCTAGAAGTTCTCAGGATAAAGCAACTTTGTCACAATGAACACTTCGACTCAAGAATGAGGTTTGGGGTCCAAACGTTTCTTCTCACCCTGACGTTGATATTGTTAACAGTAATGTCTTTCCTGAGGGTAGTTTATTGGAGGAGGCGCAAGGTGAGAGAAAGGGGTTCCAGGAGGATGAGTGGGTGATGGCTAATTTAGATCTCATCCTGTTTGAGACCCCAGGATGGGATTCCCAATGACTGAGTAACAGCACTGAGCAGTATGGCCACAAAGTTTTAATCAAATAGAGCAAAATGGCAGCAATGCAGAAGAGGTAGTGCTTGGAGAAGAGAAAGACGACCATTTCTTTGGTGACGTAGATGATGTGGATAAATATGAAACAGTACAGAAACATGGCGAACTGGTTCTGGGGGAGCAGGAGATCCTGGAGCCCTCCTGAAAACTGGGGGGGAGAACAAGAGGGTAGCTTGTAAACCAGGCAGGCTCACACTGGATTTGTGAATCAGACAGACCGGGGTTGCAGTTCTGCTCTGTCCTTACCTATGCGTCCAGGCAAGTCCCCTTCCTCATCTCATAAAGGAGTATTGATGCCCACTTCGGATGAAGCATAACACAGGAAGTGGAAAATTCTTACCAAGTCACTGGCACATAGGAAGATCCTGAACCTTGATCTTGAACCTGCTTTTATCAGTCAAACGCCTTCCCATCTGCCTATCCCACATTTCCCATATGAGTCACGTGTGTGCAGAGTATTGTTTGGCCAACTCAATCTTTCTCACTTCTGAACCCTGGGTCTTGGGACTCTGGGTGTTTTTTTCTTTAACCTTCAACCTTATTTTCAAGGCAGTGGTAGAATGAGAGTAGATCCTTTGGATACAACTAATTAGAACTCTGTAGATCCTTTGGATACAACTAATTAGAACTCTCTGGATCCTGGTGTATGTTACCCTGGGCCAGTCTACATTCTGGTCTTTTCTGAACACAGGTGCTAAGAGGGCATGTGCAGGGGATCTCCCTACATCAGTTGTGGGGAAAGTAGCTTGAGTTTGCTGGCCAATCTGTCTAAAAGCTGTTCTTTTCTAGAATCCATATAATTAGGACCCAACAGAGCCCCTTCTAACTATAGCGAGCACCAGCTTTTAACGAAGGGAAACGTTGATACTGATCTGTGGCTAAAGAGGCATCATCCATGGGTTTTCTTCAAAATATTTTTAAAAATCATGCTGACTTTTTTGTAAGCACCAGATGGCAGGGACTAAGATGCCTAAAGTAACTTTTTAAAAAAAGAAAGAAAAAGTCCTGCAAAAGAGTATTTTCCATCCATCTGTAAAAAGATGTAGGGGTCTGGGATAGCTTTAAAATCGAGTGGATGCTTTGTCTTTTGTAATTATGCAAAAGCGAACCACTTTGGCAAACTATTACAAACTCAATTGCCTTTGAATTGGTACCAACACATAGCAGAATCTCTAGTGGGTTTTCCGAGCCTTTATATTGCAGGGGAGGAGATTGCCCATCTTTCTCCTGCAAAGCAGCTGCTGGTTTCAAACTGTCTGCCTTTAGGCTTGGCACCAGACCCAGGAGGGTTAGGGTTAGTAGGCCACCAAAGCCAAAAGCTGGAATTCTGGGGCCATTCTTTTTTTTTTATTATTTTGTGTGTGTGTACCATCAAATCGGATCTGAGTGGCACAGGAGGAGATTGTCCCTCCTTCTCCAGCAGAGCATCTGGTGGGTTTGAACTCACCTGGGATCATTCTTACTGAAAAAACAGCAGATTACAAAGACAACAAACTACAATTGAGAGGGCCAGGAAATTACCACATTGATACACCCTCTGACAAGAATAGCAAGGGAAGCTGAGACCAGAGGAAAAGTAAGTGTTCTAGTGGAAGCAGAGGGCTGGACCAATCTAACCATTTTCTGCAGCTCTGGATCCAAAGGCTTTCTCCTCTCTAGGAAGCTCTGGTGGCCCAGTCAGTAGGGAACTGTGCTCCTAACACACAGACATGACCCTCTGATGGTTCAAATCTCCCCGAAGCTCTACAGGAGAAAGATGGGCAGATCTTCCATGTGACTTACAGCCTCAGAAACTCACTAAGGGTCATTTTAACTCCACAGCAATGAAAGTAAGAAGAGTGAGTTCTGGACTGTGCTGTTCTCAGCCTGAGATCCTAATGGGTGATTATGATGATTTTGATAACCATATAAGCATTTATGTAATATTTTAGTCTTTTCAAACCCTTTCCACTTAAGATGAAGACAGAGGATAGAAAGAACTCTACAATTTCCAAGAGTTTCCATTTCATCCAGCAAGATTATTTTTGAACCCCCAAATGGAAAAATCAACATCGGTAGGAGATACGGACCCAAAGACATGATCCAGTACCTATTAACAGCTTTAAATAGTTCCAGCCTTCGTCTTGTGACAAAAGATATGCCAGTGGGCTGAGGGAAAAGTAAACTTGGAAATGACATTTATTTATATGACCATTCAAAAATATCAAGCACCAAAAAAAATTTAAAAAAAAATTGGGCACCATGATAGAGTCTTCAATGGCACAATATCTTCTAGATTTTGAAGGAGAAAGGAGAGGGAAAGCTGCATTTAGAAAATCCCAGCTCATTAAGCTTGAGTTGCCCTAACAAATTCCATCAGTGCCTAATGGAACAGGTAAATTGTAAGCAAAAGAAAAGGTGATACTGTCAGAAACCAGCATGTGTGTTCGTTTAAGAATCAATCATGCAAAACCAACCCCATTAAGAAAAATAATGACTAGTCAACTGGGGAAGTACATCAGGCAGTGTGTTTAACGTCCTAATTTGGGGAAACCATTTGACAAGAGTAGTTTTAGGATACGGCAGAGAAATGTGAGCTGGGTGGACTTGGACTGTACCTCAAGGTGCTGACTGATGGAGCCTTGCTAACCGGTGAGGGGCTCTTCCATGGATTTACTTGAGGTCATATCCTCTTCAGCAATTACAGCAATAGCTTAGATGAAGACACTGAAGCAAGCTTCTCAGAATTGTGGATGACTCAGAGTTGAGAAGCAGAGCTAATGTATTATATCCCAGTAAAATGGAAATGGGATGAGTGTAAATTGCTACACAGGGGTCAAGAAGTGAATTGTGTGAGTCCATAAAAATGGCAATAATTAACATTTATCGAGGGCCTAGGTAATGTGCCTGACTCACTATATTCTCCCATGTCCGATAGGGACCCTTTTGATGGGTGGCATTAATAAGTTCAGAATTTTCTACACATGGATCAGTTATAAAACTATAGTTATGTAATTATAACAGCTGACATCAGTTTTCTTCAGCCTGCAAAACTAGTTACTTAGCCTCCGAATTCTGTTTCCTTTCTTTAGTCATGTAAAGTAGTTTGATCTCTTTATCAGAAGAGCAAATGCATCTCTCCTAGAGCTCTCTGAGGCTGTTTCTCAGTCGTGTAAATTGTATCTTAATCTGTCTGTTTACCAGGAAAGGTACTGTGTCCTTCCTGAATTATTAGTACTTAAATATGAACTATTCTTTTCAGATGTAGAAATTCTTTTTTTACTAACAAAAGTGCGTTGTTAAGTGAGTCTCACCCTCCTACAAAAGCCCATGACCAACCACTCCCAGTCTTGGAGGTGATTCACTGTCTCCCGGATCTGTGTAATAAAGTGCTTATGAATATTGCAATCCGGTTGTCTTATTGGCGATTGACTAGGAAAGAACCCCTTGTGTTCAGTAACACTCTGAGGTCGACATTACTGTATAGATGAGTAAATCTAGGCTCAAAGGAGGTTGATAACTTGCCAACATCACGCACTTTATACATGGTGGGCTTTTAATCCAAGACGGTCTGGCTTTACAAGCTAGGCTGCGTTGATTTAAAAAGAATGTTCTCCATTATTAGGTGCCTATGGTGGACTGGAAATGAACCTATCTGGTTTTCTTATCCCTGTTAAGAGCATCTTAGAGAAGAGTTGTATGTCTGTGAAGGGAGGCATACATTTTAGAGTGTGAATAGTCCATGATCTGCTAAAAGAACAAACAAATCTGTTGAGCGGAAGTGCGGCCAGAGTGCTGTATTGTCAGGAGGGGCCAGTTCTTGGAGAGACACGTCAAGATGGGAAAGGTGGGGGCCAGAGGAAGACCCTCAACAAGATGGATCGACACAGTGACTATGGGCTCAAGTATGAGGGGGGTGCCAACAGGGCAGGGTTCAGCTCTGTGGTGTAAGGGGGTCACTATGAGTCACAGGCAAGTCGATGGTGCCTGACAGTAACAACAAAGGCAGTGTGGTCTTCCAGCACAAAAGCAACAGCGGTCAAAGGAAGGCGTTGTTAGTTCTCTAAAACCCACTGGGCAGTCTGACGGACTTGAGAGACTGGAGAGTGGTGGAGATAGTGATACAGGAAATGCTGAGGCCCGAATATCCCAGAGAAGGAAGACACGGGGCTGTCCGGGCACAAAGTGAACCAGGTCCAGCACCCCCAGCCCTCACTCTGCGTTGTGGCTGTTGGGTGCTGTCAAGTTGACTGTGACTCACAGCGACCCTATGAACACCAGATCTGAAGCTCACTCTGTCCTGTGCCAACCTCGCCATATGTTTTGAGTCCACCGTTACTATCACCATGTCAACCCATCTTGTTAAGGGTATCCCTCTTCCTCTGACCACCCCCCCCCCCAGCATGAGGGTTTTTCCAAGGACTGGCCCCGCCTGGCAACGTGCACAAATGTCTGTGAGATGAAGTTTCACCATCCTCGCCCTTAAGGAGCACCTGGAGCACTTCCTAAGACAGTCTCCCCTTGGAGAGTTGGGGGTCTAACCGCTCATATGTGTTCTCTGTTCCAGATCTATCCTGTATGGTGTGGACCACCTGGCGGGTCTCCAGAAGTGACCTAGAGGGAGAAGGGTCAAGGTCTGCGTGACCACTGAGCTCCTTCCAGCTGGGACCCCAGGCTCTGCAGGAGAGGAGGCGTCAGGCAGCAGGTAAGCTGGGCTGCCGCGTGGACTTCTCCAGCCCCGGGCCGGGTTTCGGTCTGCCGCTGTTCACCGCGGTCCCCCAAGCACACACACACTTTGTGTCTTACTCACCAGGCGGGGCGCTGCCTGTTGCCTCAGCTGCTCCATCACTTCCTCGTGCTGTCGCTGCCTCTGGTTCTCCTCATGCAGGTACTTGAGCCTCGTGAGCTCGAACTCCATGCGCACCTTCTCCAGCTCTATCTCCAAAATGCGCTTGGACCCCAGGTCTGGGGGCAGCTCTGCCTGTTGGGGCCCGTCGCCCACCTGGCCCTTGGTGGTGGGCCCCGCCAGGAGGGGCAGTGGCATCACTGAGCCTGGGCAGCCTCCGTCCTCACAAGTCTCCATCTCTTCCACGTGGTCATAGCAAGAGTCTGGGTTGGGGGGATCTGCTTCCGGGGCCGGAGTGGGCTTGGGAGGAAAGTGAGGCATCAACAGGGGACCGCTCCCCGCACCCATGGCATGCATACCCCAGCTGTCAGTGGAAAAGCTAAAGGTGGAGTTGCAGTTGGTATAAATTCATCTGCAGGGCGGTGTCAGGACAGAAAGCGAAAGGCCAATTCACACAAAGGAAGGGCTCCTGCAAGGTGCAAGCGGAGAGCTTGGGAAGTTGGAGTCTGTCTTCCTGGTGATTTTCCTATCACCATGGAGGTTACCACTCACTCTAAGTTAAGACCAGTTAGAGACCGGGTTCTTTGGGGCTGAGAGGAAGGAGGAATCACAGGGCCTTTGCTGAGAGAATGAGGCCTTTGGGGGCCAGTCATGGTGGGAGGAGCAGAGTCCCATCTGCAGAGGGAAGGAAGGCTCTCCTAGGAGGGAATATGGGAAAGCTAGGCCAGCTTCACGTGGCTTTCCAAAGTCCAATGCTACCCGGCCCTTGGCTGCCTTTGAAGGGTGCTAGTTACAGGCCTGGGTACACGTCACTGGCTCTTCTTAAACAGTCTCCTAGCATCTAGCTCCCATCACGTATCCTCGGTGTATCATCCCTCCCTCGTGAATAAACAGGGAGAGCTGGTTTCCCCCTTACCAAAGAAGCCTTTGATTTCTCTTCAGAAATGGGATCGCTGGGCACCGTCTTGGGGATGTTTGGGCAGCTCTCTCCTGCCCCCCGGGCTTCCATAATTTCCCTCTCTTCAGGTGTCAATCAGGAGACCACCAAAGCTGCCAATGGGGCCAAAGGACATCTTTTGAAGCGCTCACATTTGACCTCACCAGACTCCACACAGCCCAGCCTCCATCACAATCCCCTGTCCTCACAATAAACCCACATTCTTCTCGTTGCTAGGCCCCCTTGGCAGAGGGTGTGACTCCTGGGAGGAGATGTTATGGGCTGCTGGGCTGGCCTTTCCCCACCTCCACGAGGGGTCTGAAAACCAGAAGTTCACCTTTAGAAACCAATTCCCTTGGGTTCCTCTTTTCAAAGCAGATTGTACTAGAATGGGTCACAATTAACTCCACAACCCCAGGCTAATTATATCCCCCAGTTGGGGTAGAATGAATTGTGACAGTCGGCCCCTGCCGTAGAGTCAGAGCTGATTCACAGCTGACCCTCCAGTGGGTTTTCAGAGCCTGTAAATCATACAGTGGAAAGACTATCCATCTTCCAGGCTTGGAGCAACTGGTGGATTCTAACTGCGTACCTTGGGTTGGCAGCACAGCTCCTTACCCACTAGGCTATCGGAGCTGGTGATGTACTAGGGCTGGGGATGTAATTTGTCCTCTTCTGTTATGTGGAAACCACAGTAACACATTGAGTCAGTGCTGCACTGTGGGAATAGGAAGAATTGTATTTGAACTCTCGCTTTACTCTAAGTACATGACCATGAGGAAGTCATCTTAACCCTCTGTTGCTAAGGTAGCCTCGTCTGTAGGAACTGCGGACAAAGGTGAGGCTCTCGAGTGGTTCAATGGCTTTACTGAAGATAGATGGGCAGTCTCCTCTGCGTCATTTATAGCCTCTAAAGACCTACTCTTCTCTGTTTTTCATTCCCAGTATAGTGAATCATAGGATTATCTGATTCAAAGTGGCCAAAGCTAGTCCATCTCATTTCACTAATGCCTAGTGTGTCAATGTTTGTGCATTATATTTCAGGTTTTTACAATTTGTAGTTTGGAGGCAATGATGATGAGGCTTCACCTCACGTATTTCAGGCATGTTAGTAGAAGGGGCTATTCCTTGGAGAGGGACTCAGTGCTTGGAAAGGAAGAAAGGGTCGGCAAAGGAGAAGGAAGACCCTCGACCAGGTGGATTGACACAGTGATTGCCACAAAGGGCTCCTGTGTGTCGGGAAATGTGAGGGTGGCACAGGATAGGACGGGGTTCAGATCTGTTGTTCATAGGGTTTCTTTGAGCCATACTCGACTCGACACTTAACAACAATGACCACTGCGGCTGGAGGGAGAGGAGTTCGCTGTAAGATGGTTATAACTTGATGGCAGTGGATTGCAATTGATACTCAGTGTACTTACTTTTTTAAAATTTTTATTATTTTGTGTGTGTGTGCTGTCAAATCAGATCTGACTGGTACAGGAGGAGATTGTTCCTCCTTTTCCAGCAGAGCATCTAGTGGATTTGAACCGTGCACCCCTAGGATTGCAGTACATCTTCTTGCCACTAGGCCACCAGAGCTCACCTCAGTATACTTATTTTAAACAAGGATGTTTTATTGTTTCTCTAAGGTCCCTGGGTGGCATAAACAGTTTGCATTCATCTATTAACCTAAAGGTTAGTGGCTTAAATCCACATGGTGCTACAGTCCAAAAAAGGCAGGTGATCTGTTTTTATAAAAGATTATTGGTAGGTGTCATCAAATTGACTCCAACACATAAAGGATCTATGAAAAAGAATCAAATCCTTTCATGTTCTTACATCATCCTTTGAACCTTTGCTGGTCTATGTGTGAATCCATCTGGTTGAGGGACTTCTTCTCTTCTGTTGACCCTCCACCTTTCTAAGCCAATTCTTTTCCAAGGGCTGGCTTCTCCTGACAACGTGCCCAGAGCCTGCGAAACGTGTCACCATCCCTGCTCCTAAGGAGAACGCTGATAGTTCTTTTTCCAAGACAGACGTGTTTGTTCTTTTGGAAGTCCATGGAATATTCTGTATTCTTCACCAACACTACAACAGAAAAGTATCAACCTCCTCCTTATTTACTGGGAGAGAAAATAGCCAAGGAAAACCCCTGAAGTAGTTGCCAAGAGAATCAACTCGACAATAGTGAGTTTGTGTTGACCTGAGTGGCAGCATTGACGTGATGATAATCTAGGTCTATTTGGCTCATTGCCTTTTCCTACAGGGACTAAGTAAATGTGGATGAGATTGTGTTCCTCAGAAGGTTACACTGAGGATGGTCAACAGGCCCTGAAGAGACGCTCAAAATCGGCAGCAATAAGAGATGCAAGTCAAAACCACAAGATATCTTATCCCAGGAGCAGTGGCAAATTTTAACAGGACAGCAAGAAAGAAATTTTGGAGAGGATGTGGAGAGATAGGAACGCTCATCCACTGTTGGTGGGACTGTAAAATGGTACAGCCACTCTGGAACGCAATTTAATGTGTCTTCAAAAAGCTGAACATAGAAATTCCATATGTCCCTGCTACATCACTGTAAGGACTATGCCCCAAAGCAAACAGAACTAAGATACAGAGATTGGTATACCCATCTTCATAGCAGTGTTATTCACAATAGCAAAAACATGGACACAGCCCAGATGTCCATTAACAAATGACTGGATGAGAAACTGTGGTACATTAACACGATAAACTATTATGCAGCACTCAGAAGCAAAAATTTTGAAAAATAGTATATAACATGGGAGGGGCTAGACAGCATTATGCTGAGTGAACTAAGATGCGTAAGAACAAATACTGTATGAGATCATTATTGTAAAAGCAGAAAGAGAACCAGTGAGACGTGTGTGGATGTCCAAGGAGGGATGGGAAGGGAAGGAGGGCTGAGGGTGGGAACCACAGGGTCACAGAGTTTGGAGGGTGGAGGGAATGGATGAAAAAGACAAACAATGTACATGAATCAAACACAATTTTTTTTTTCATTTTAATGAAAGTCTACAGAGACTTAGGATTTCCATTGATTCATTGTTGCACTTTTCTCCCTGCCCACCCCTCCCCCCAATTCACTCTTCTCTTTAAAAAGTAAAATTCTTATATTGCTATACAATCCCTCCCCCCAAGTCCACTCCACTGTGCAGCTTTCATTCTGGACTCCTGTCATGACAATAATAGCTAATCATATATCCCTTTTAAACCGTTCTCTCCCTCATCTGTTTCAATGTAGTATACATTATTTATCCCCTCTTTCTCAGTCTTCCCCCAACCCTAATGTCAGTCCCATTTTACAACAGTGGCCCTATGCCGTATTTGTCCTTTTGTGACTGAGATAGTTCACTCAGCGTAATGTCCTCCAGGGTCACCCATTTTGAATAATATTGCATGAGTTCTTTGTTTTCAACACAGCATAGTATTCCATTGTGTGAATATACCAGAGCTTCTCTGTCCATTCGTTTGTTGATGGGCACTTGACTTGTTTCCAACTCTTTGCTATTGTAAACAAGGCCACAATAAACATGGGTGTCCGTATATCTGCTTGGGTGGCAGTTCTGGTTTCCTTATGGTATATTCCCAGTATTGGAATTGTTGGGTCAAATGGTATTTCTATTTGCAACTTTTTGAGAAAGCGCCATACAGCTTTCCATAGTGATTGCATCATTTTAGCACTCCCACCAACAGTGAATAAGAGTTCCAGTTTCTCTGCAATCTCGCCAGCGTTTGATGTTTGCTGTTCTGTTACATTTTGCTCTTCTTACTGGGGTGAGATGATATCTCATAGTTGTTTTGATTTGCATCTCTTAGACCTAGGGATTTTGAACACTTCTTCATGTGTATGTTGGTCACCTGACTGTCTTCTTTGGTGAAATGTCTGTTCATATCCTGTACGCATTTTTTTTTCAATTAGGTTATTTACATTTTTCTTGTTGTGGTGCTCGAGTATTTTATAAATCCTAGATATAAGTCCCTTGTCTGAAATGTCATTACCAAATATTTTTTCCCAGTCTATGACTTCCTTTTTGACTCTGTTGGAGAAGTTTTTGGATGTGCTTAGGTATTTAATTTTTAGAAGGTCCCATTCATCTATTTTATCCTCTCCTGGTTGTAGATTTTTCAGGATGCTTGAAAGACTGTTCTTTTTTTTTTTCTTTATATTTTTTTCTTCGTTTTATTATTTTTTAGTCTTTGATGTCCGAAAGACTGTTTATGTTGTGGATTAGGACTTCTAAAGTTCTTCCAAGCTTTTCTTTAATGAAGTTTATAGTCCTGGGTCCATGATCCACTTTGAACTGGTTTTTGCGTATGGAGTGAGATGTGGATCTTGCTTGAGTCTTCTGCAGATAGTTTTCCAATTTTGCCAGCACCGTTTGTTAAAAAGGCTGTCATTTCCCCACTTAACTGATTTCATCTCCTTGTAAAAATCAGTTGACCATAGGTAGATGGGCTGATTTCTGGATTCTCAACTCCATTCCATTGATCTATGTGTCTGTCATTGTACCAGTACCATGCTGTCTTGGCCACCATGGCAGTGTAGTAGGATTTGAAATCAGGGAGTGAGATACCTCCTACCTTGTTTCTCTCTTTAAGGACTGCTTTACTTATTTGAGGCCTCTTTCAATTCCAAATGAAATTGGAGATTGCCTTTTCCATCTCACTGAAGTCTGGAATTGGTATTTGTATTGGGATTGCATTGAATGGAAACACATTTTTTTAAAAGGTTCTTTTGAAGCCCTAACTCAGTTTTGAAATGCAGGTTTCTTTTGTTATGTTAAGGAGGTTCTAGCACAATAGATTGGGTTCTAAAGCTAATCGTGTCTGAGCTATGAGAAGAGATGGAGACATACACAAAAGCAAAGTTCAACAGGGCAGCAAACAACAAATGCTGGCGTGCACATGGAGACATTGGAATTCTCATTCACTCCCCATGGGAATGTAAAACGGCACAACCACTCCTGGAGGCAGTCCTCCTCCAAACTCTGAAAACAAACACCACCTGACCCAACCATCCCACTGGCAATATCCCCCAACCATGAAGGACCATTTTCTTAAAGCCTGAAGATGCCAAGAGCCAAGGTGCCCTTTTTCTTTGTTGCATTACTATTACTAAACTTGAGTCACTCATTAAATATTTGTTAAATTAAAAGAAAGATGGCGAAATACACAACAGGGATAGAAACGATGTGAATGAACACACACACACACACACACACACACACACACACACAGAGGCAGATGCAACTCCAAGCCCAGTAACACCTAGGATGGCTAACAGCAACTAGAAACCAAAATACATCTACTCCCCAAATTGGAATTTCCCCTGGACTACAACACAGTGCATCGCTGTTCTTTAAAGCCACCCGCTTGTGTCAGGTTTTGTTCACAGCAGCACTTGGGAGCTGAGATAGCATCGTTATTGAAGTTAGGTGATGTGTGTGGGACAGTGAATTACCAGGCTCCTTCTGGGCGTAGACCTCCATTTTTTGATGTCCTGTAAATCCTGGCCTCTGTGCCTGTGGCTGTAGTCCTGTTCTGGAGGAGTTGTCCCCTGTGCTAACGATCAGCTTAGGGGGAGATGTGTTCTGAGCCTGTGCTTTACGATAGGGTGTGGCCCACATTGTCTTAGTGCCCCCCCCCCCCCCCGGGTAGCCTCAGCCACGTCTTGGGACGCTCTGGGGAGGTTTGCCCTGTTCACCTAGATCCCACCTCTGACTCAGTTCTTCCTCACCCCCAAAGGTGACCCTGTTACATAATTCATCTACTCCATGAACCCCCAGCTTCCTCTCAGGTAGAAGTGCCTGTCATTGTGAAGCCCCCACGGCCACTCGGGTCTTGATTCACAGATTTGGAATTTTCCAGCCTCCGTAACTGTGTGATTTGTGTCCCCGGTGGTTTGAGTGTCTATGAGCTGTTGCATTGAATTCTGGAACCCAGGAGGAGGAGGAATTGTTGACATTGGAGATGAGGTAACGGTGCAACAGCTTGGAAAAATCAGACACTGGGCATATCATTAACCACCTCCGGAGAAAGTAGCTTTGTGATAATTCTTCTAAAGGAAAGTATTTGTCCAGTTGTCACTGGAGAGAAGCGAGTACTCAAATCTCTACCCGCATCCTCTTTAGAATCGATGTGAATGTTGGCAACCTTTCCTAGAATTATGCTGGTAACCACAGGAGCCAGCTCCTGATTACTGGGTAAGATGTAGATCTTGCCTCATGGGCTAAGAGTAGGGTTGACAGATAAATATAGGATATCCAGTTAAATTTGAATTTCAAATGAATAATGAGTAATTTTTAGTATATTTTCTAAAAACTGAACAATACATCCTTATTCGGGGGAGGGAGGGTTTTTGTTGTTGTAATTGTGTACTGTCAAATCGGAGCCAACTGGTACTGGCGAAGTTTGCCCCTTCTCCAGCGATGCATCTGGTGTCTTTGAACCGTGCACCTTTGGGATTGCAGTGCAGCTTCTTGCCACTGGGCCACCAGAGCTCCTTACAAGCCATCCTTCTATAGGAAGAGTATGCATTATTTCACTAAAAGTCACATCAAACTGGTCATCCTTTATTTTTATTTGCTATATCTTGTGATCTTAGCTGGGAGAAACTGCACAAAGGAACAATTATATAGAATCAAATAATCAACTGGTGACTGAGTGGTTAGAAATTGTGCTGCAAACACAAAGGCGTGTGTGTAAATGCGCTGTTGAGGGGAGCCATCTCCTGTGCCATTTACTGCCTCCGAAAACTTGCTGGAAGGTGGTTCAGACTCAACGGTACACAACAACAGCACAGCATGAAGAACTAGGTGTTGAAAGGTACAGTGAGTACTGTGGGTGGCTCTATCACCTTTTGCTGTATAACAGGCAAATAAACATGTTTTTTAGCTTGGGCATTTAGAAGTTGGTTGATCCAGGCTGGGAGTTTTCACCAAGGCAGCTCCATTGTTCCCCCTTTTTATCCTTTTCTGAGGAACAGAGAGCCAGCCCAGGCATGATCTCCATCTCCCTGCCCCGGCAATGACAGAGGCACAAGATGATGGGAATTGACAAACCACCACTTCCCTTTTATTTTAGGGCCAAATCAAGTCAAGCATATTTTACTTTTTTTCCTCTCATTTTACAGGTGGAATTGTCCATGGGGTGGGGGGGGGGAGGTAAGAAGGTAAATGTAAATAAAGAAATTAGCAGATTAAGAGCTACTGGCTACCTTGAGAGGTTCTTAAAGAGACAGTCTGCCTGAGAAGCATGGTGCCTTGGGCCACGCATCGAGAGAAATGATGGGGTAACGTCTTCATTTAGTTGCAAGAACTGCAGAGACGGTGTGGTAAAAGGTGCAGCTACAGGGCTGCATGAAGAGCTGGGAACCATCTGGAACCATGAAAGCCGAGAAGGGCAGAGCGAATGTGGCTGAATGAGGTGACAAGAACAGTGAACAGAACATGGTCAAGGGAAGTGACTGGCAAAACCCTAACTGAAAACCATCAGGAGGATGCTCCTGAGAGACAAGGGTGGTGAAACCAGCTCGTCTCACAGACTTCTAGCATGTTATCAGGAGCTCCCGGTCCTGCTGGGAGTGGTGAGGGTCAGCGAAGGAGAGGACCCTCTGCAAGATGGATTGTTAGAGCACCTGTGACAGTGAACTCGAGCCCGTTGGAGATGCTGAGGTTGGCACAGGACAGGGCGGGGTTCGGATCTTTGTTCACAGGGTTGTTATGAGCTGGAGTCCACTGGATGGGACACAACAACACCATCAATAACTGACAGCTTCCAGCAGTGCTGGACCAGCCCACGGCCCACGAGGTCTTCTCACACCAGCTTCATAGGCAACTCCCAAAGGCAGGTGAGCAATGATCCCTTCTCAGAAAGGTGGAGGGATTGGTCCAAACTCCCAGGCTCAACTTGGCTTAGGGAGGGCATATGAAGGTCATTGGAGGGAATGAAGGAGACCAGCTCACCTGGGAGCCAGGACCGGGGGCCTGAACTGACTGGGCTTCTCAGAGGCTGTGCTGGACCCAGGGAGACTGGACTGAGGGGCACCGCAGCCAGGCAGGTACATTTGTATTTGTAACTCAGCCTATTCTGGCGTCTTTCACTTCTATCATTTTCCACCACTACTTTCCCTCCCTTATAGTTTCTTTTTAAAAAAAATTATTATTTTTTGTGCGTGTACCGTCAAATTGGATCTGACTGATACAGGAGGAGATTGCCCCTCCTTCTTCAGCAGAGCATCCGGTGGATTTGAACTGTGCACCTCTGGGATTGCAGTGCAGCTTCTTGCCACTAGGCCACCAGAGCTCCCTTCCCTTATAGTTTCTATGGGTTTAAGGTTTCTGCTTCCTCCAGTTTCCATTGACTCCTACCTCCGATTGATACCGGTGCTTCATGAAATGTGCAAAGAGCTGGAGTCAGAAAAACCAAGCTGGAGTCAGAAAAACCAAGCGGCTGAACTTGCTCAGCATTTCTTCAGCTGAAGGAACTGAAGGACAAAGTCAAACCTCGAATTGCAATAATACTTAAGGATGCTTTGGGCAGAATATGAAATGATCCAGGAAGTATTAAAAGAAGATGAAAAGAGTATACAGAGTCACTGTGCCAGGGGGAATTGGTGGGCATAGAAGAATTTCATGAAACAACGTATGAGCCTGTGGTCTTGAAAGAAGTTGTTCAAGCTACTCTGAAAGAATTGGCAAAAACCGAGGCACCAGGAATTGAGAGGATACAAAATGACATTTGCTGCCCTGGATTTGCTCACTAAGTTGTGCCGAGAAATCTGGAGGACAACCACTTGGCCAACTGACTGGAAGAGATCTATATTTGTTCCCATCCCAAAGAAAGGTGATCCAACAGAGTGCAGAAATGATCAAACAATATCATTAATATCACATGCAAGCAAGATTCTGCTGAAAGTTATCCAAAAACAACTGAAACAGAACACCAGCAGGCTGGGTGTAGAAGAGACCATGGTACTAGGGATATTAGAGTTAATGTTAGATGGATCTTGGCAGAAAGCCGAGAGTACCAAAGGGATGTCTGTCTGAGTTTGATTGACTGTACAAAATCATTTGACTGTGGCTGACTCTGAGAAGAATGGGAATTCCAGAACATTTGATTGTGCTTATGCAAAACCTATACTTGAACCAAGAAGCAGTTGTCAGAACAGAACAAGGAGACACTGCATGTTTCAAAATTGAGATGGATGTACACCAGGGATGTGTCCTGTCTCCATACCTTTTCAAGCTATATGCAGAACAGATTATCCGGGAGGCTGGGCTTTATGAGGAGAAATGTGGCATCAGGATTGGAGGAAGATTCATCAACAATCTGCGTTACACAGATGACACAATCCTGCTTGCTGAAACTGAGACAGACCTGAAGTGCTTAAATATAGGACTGGGCCTTAAATATAGATTGAAGCTCACCATCAAGAAAACAGATTCTCACCACTGGGTCAGTTGACAGCATCATCATAGACAGTGAAGAGATTGAGAGTGTTAACAGCCTTAGTTTGCTTTGCTCCATAATCAACAGTCTTGGTACCAGCAGCCAGGAAATTAAAAGACGAATTGCATTGGGAAAGTCTGCTGTCAGAGACCTCTCCAGAGTACTGAAGAGCCAAGATAGCAGTCTGGAGACTAAGGTGCCCCTGATCATGTCCAGAGTCCTTGCAATTACTTATTATTTATCAGAGAGTTGGACAATGACTAGGGATGATAGGAGAATCGATGCCTTTGAGCTGTGGTGCTAGAGAAGAGTACTGAATATACCACAGACTACTAGGAGAACAAACAGATTTAACCTTGAGATGGTGAAACCAGGCTGCTCCTTGGACCCAAGCATTCTGAAGCTTTATCTGACATACTTTGGACATGTTGCAAGGAGGGACCAGTCCTTGGAGAGGGATGACATACTTGAGAGGGTGGAGGGACAATGAAGGAGAGGAAGACCCTCGATGAGATGGATTGATTCAGTGACTGGGGTAATGTGGGTATATGTGTCAGAGACAATGAGATTGGCACAGGATAGAGCCGGTTTAGGGCTGTTATCCATAGGGTCACTGAGTTGCAGGTGACTCAACAGCACATAACAACATATTCCCAGTAGTGGGATAGCTGGATCAAATGATATTTCTGTTTTCAATTTCTTTCTTTCCTCCATTTTTAAATGGAAGATCCGGAAATTTTTTCCCATTTAATTTAATTTTGTATTGGTTTGCAAATGATTTATATACAATGTTTCATTTATGTACATTGTGTTTTGTACATTCTTATACATTGTGTTTCACATACATTGTGTTTTATACGATCTTTCCTATGAAATAAATTTCTTTTAGAAGTTGTTGCTATGTGCTGTTGAGTCAGAACCAACTCCTACCTGAGCCGCCAGTGGGTTTTCAGAGGAAGTAAATACCAAAGGAGGAAACTGCTTAGTCTATCTCCTGAGGAGCAGCTGGTAGATTTGAACTACATGCCATTGGGTTAAG